TTAGTATATTTTAAGTATTCTATCATGTCATATGCAAATATGTATAACGACCTTTTCCTTTTTTATACTGTTTATTTATTTTTCTTGTCTTATTGTCATAGCTAAGATTTAAGCACTATATTAAGCACTATATTCCTAATTTTAGAGGAATTGTTTTCAATTTCATATAATATTGGCTGTGATTTTTACATAGCATTTATTATGTTGAGATATGTTTCTTCTATTCATATTTTTGTCAGGGATTTTATTATGAAAGGATATTGAAGTCTGTCAAAGGTCTTTACTGTAAAATAATCAGGGATAAACCTAACTAAGGACGTGAAAGACCAGTACAATGAAAACATTAAAACACTGAAGGAAGAAATTGAAGAAGACACTAGGCAATGGAAAGATCTCCCATGCTCCTGGGTTGCCAGAATTAACATTATGGAAATGACTAAACTACCAAAAGTTATCTATACAACCCTTATCAAAACTCCAATTATATTTTAATAGATTTAGAAAAACAATCCTAAAATTTACATGGAAACACAAAGCCGAGCCCCCCCCCCCAAATAGTCTTAGCAGTCCTAAGAGAACCAAGACTGAGGTATCACAATGTCCAATCTCAAATTATATTATAGTTTACAGTAACAAAAACACCATGATCCTGGTAAAAAACAAGGTATTAGGACCAATGGAATAGAATAGAGGACCAAGGAGTAAACTCACACACATACAGTCACCTGACTTTTGATAAAGGTGTCAGGAGCATACATGGATAAAATCCACTAACTTTAACCAATAGTGCTGGGAAAATGGCATCTACATAGAGAAGAATGAACTCACTTCCACACCTTTCACTTTGTACAAACACCAGTACAAAACCAGACTGAGGTCCTTAATGTAGGACTGGAAAATCTGAAACTGTAGGAGTAGATAATAGGGAAAACTTTAAACTATAGATGACTTTCTGAAAAAAAGAACCCCAATAGTATAGAGAATAGTCCCTAGAACTGACAAAAGGGACAAGATGGAATTACAAAGCTTTTGCGGAGCTAAAGAAGCAATTAGCAGATGAAGACACAGCCTACAGAAAGAAAAGAAATCATTGCCAGCTATCCATCTGGCAGGGGATTATAATTTGGAAATCATAAATAAATTGAAAAGATTAAAAGCACAAACTCAAATTATCCAATCAATAAATGGCAAAGGGTTTGAGTGGATTGTTCTAAAAAGAGGAAATACAAATGAAGAGTACATATTTGAAAAAGATTCTGACTATTCATCATCATCAGGACAATGCAGTCTAAAACTGCTTTGAGGTTTTATCTCTTTCCAAGTCAGAATGACGATCACACTAAAACAGCCAAATGAACCAAATGCTGGTGGATGTGGGATGTAAATTGGTGCACCTATGATGCAAATCTCTATATATGTTCTTTAATAACTGAAAAATAGAATTTCTAGAGGACCCAGCCAGCCATCCCACTCTTGGGCATATACCCAAAGAACTCCAAGTCTTTGTGACATATGACACTCCTTGTTGATTGCAGCACTACTCACAATATCTAAGACATGGAACCAGCCTATTTGTCCATCAACAGCTGAAGGGTTAATGAAAATAAAACGACAGGTGTTTATGCAATGGAGCTTCACTCAATAGTAAAGAAGGTGAATGCAATTGCAGGCCTTTTTGTTGTTGTTGTTGTTTGTTTTATTTTGTTTTTTGAGATAGGGTTTCTCTGTGGCTTTGGAGGCTGTCCTGGAGCTAGCTTTTGTAGACCAGGCTGGTCTTGAACTCACAGAGATTTGCCTGCCTCTGCCTCCCAAGTGCTGGGATTAAAGGCATGTGCCACCACCACCGGGCTAGAGGCCATCATCTTAAATGAAATAACTGATACAAGGAAATATTTAATTGGGGTTGGCTTACAGTTCAGAGGTTTAGTCCATTATCATCATGGAGGGAAGCATGACAGCATACAGGCAGACATGGATCCGTAGTAGCAGGAAGAGAGAATGCCATACTGGGCCTGACTTGAGCATCTCAGACCTCAAAGCCCACCCAACAATGACATTGCTTCCTCCAGCAAAGCCACATTTACTCCAACAAGGCCACATTTCCTATTGTGCCACTCCCTATGGGCCAAGCATTCAAACACATAAGTCTATGGGACCATTGCTATTCAAACTACAACATTCATAATCTAGATTTAAACACTTCTGCATTTCTATTTCCTGATAGTACAGGGGCGGGGGGCTATGAAGTAGGAAGATGAATTCTAAAGAGTAATGGGGTGTAGAGGACACTTTCTTTCATATATTGAGAGTATACATCCACTTGACATGAAAGTAGAAGGCAGACTCTTTGGGAGTGAGGAAGGGGAACCTGATGGGAGGACTGGTTCAAGAGTGTGGTAAGGCAGGGGATGAATGTGAAGAGAGTACAATGAGTATCTGTTAAAATGTTATAATAAAATCCAGTAAATGCAGTAAAAACTTAATTCATGTGTCACTGACTTATCTTGTTATGTGTAAATAAAAATTTGTATAAAAAAAACTTCTCAGTCTTCCCACCAGCATTATCAGCACTGCTGGGATCATGCTAGAAATGCAGACCTGTTGAGTTGGACCCTTGGGCCCAGTGATCTGTGTTTCAGCAAGCTCTCTCAGTGACTCTGATGCCCTCTCTAGCTGTGTCATTTGGTGGCACAGTGCATGTAATGTGTAAGTGTAGTGACTTAGAGAGGCCTGCAATACAAGAAATGATGATGGTAAATATGTCTGTGTTTTTGTTGTTTATGGATACCTCATCGGTACCATTTTTAGAGTAAAACTAACTTAAATGTTCTTGTGTTTAAGTATGCTCAGAGCCATGAGTTCAGCCTAGGCAATATAGACTGCCTATTCTGTATTCTAAACATGTCTGTTTTATTAGCCTGTATAAAATAGAGTCAGAACAGAAAACCAAATAGTCTCAATGAGTTTCCAGATGTCCAGCTGGATAACTCAGTGATCTGAGTGCTTCTCCCTCTTCAGTGCTTTTTGCTGCCTCAGTGTCTCTAGAATCTGGGTTTTGCCCTCCTCCTGGGCTACAGAGCCAGGTTTATCATCCTTTTAAAAATGCTATTCTAGGATTCAGCTGTGTTTTAGCTTTTCTTTTTCATACTGGATAATATTCCATTACATAGATATACCACATCTTCTTTATTCATCTATCCTTTGATAGACATGTTTATTTCTTTGACCCCTTGACTACAATGAATAATGCCAATGTCAACATGGTATTGGAGATATCTCCTTAAAAATCCTTAATAAAAAATTCTCAGGGAGTGGAGAGATGACTCAGGATTTAAGTGCTCTTACTGCTCTTGCTGAGTATCTGGAGTTTGTTCTCAATACTGGCATGTCCTCTTGCAACTACCTGAATCTTCAATTCTAAGAGATTTTATGCTCTCTTCTGGCCTCCATGGTTACCAGGTACACATATGGTGCACATACATGCATGCAAGCAAAAGCACTTATATACATACATTAGAATAGGTCAGTCTGAAAATTTTCTCTTTAGTACACCAAAATTTAGATATCTAGGTCATATGGTAATTCTATTTTTAATGTTTAAAGAGCTTTTCTGTTCCTGTCCACAACAGTTTGCACCATTTTATAGTCTCACTCACTGGTACAGAGCTTCTACATTCTCCTTAGACTGGTCAAAGTAATCATGTTCTGTGTTTTGGGATGTAGCCTTCCTAGGTATGGAATGAGTTTTCATTATGGGTTTTGTTTGCATTTCTGTAGTAACCAATGGGGCTGAACATTTTTCATGTACTTGTGAGCTATTTATAAAGCATCTTTGCAAAACTGTGTATACTAGTCTGCTGCTTGTTTTAAAAATTCATGCATTCATTCATTTTATTTATTTATTTATTTTTTATTTTTTCATATTTTTTATTTAAATTAGAAACAGGATTGTTTTACATGTCAATCCCAGTTCCCTCTCCCTCCCCTCCTCCCCTACCTCCCACTAACACCCTATCCCATACCATTTCTGCTCCCCAGGGAGAGTGAGGTTCTCCATGGGGAGTCCCCAGAGTATGTCATATCATTTGGGATAGGGCCTAGGCCCTTCCCCATGTGTCTAGGCTGAGGGAGCATCCCTCTATGTAAAATGGGCTCCCAAAGTCCATTCCAATGCCAGGGATAAGTACTGATCTACTACAAGACGCCCCATCTATTTCTGAGGCCTCCTCACTAACACCCATATTCATGGGGTCTGGATCAGTTCCATGCTGTTTTCCCAGTGATCAGCCTGGGGGTCAAGAGCTCCCACTTGTTCAGGTCAGCTGTTTCTGGGGTTTCATCAGCCTGGTTTTGTCTATTTTGCTCACCACTCTTCCTTCTCTGCAACTGGATTCCAGTTCATTTCAGTGTTTATCTATGGGTATCTGCTTCTACCTCCATCAGCTGTTGGATGAAGTCTCTAGGATGGCATATAAGTTAGTCATCATCCTCATTATCAGGGGAGGGCATTTAAGGTAGCCTCTCCACTGTTGCTTAGATTCTTAGTTAGTGTCATCCTTGTAGATCTCTGGACCTTTCCCTAGTGCCTGATTTCTTTTTTAAACCTATACTGGATCCTCTCTGATGGTATCTCTTATTTTGTTCTCCTCTATTCTTTCCCCTATACCGCTTTCCTGCTCCTTTATGTCCTCCTCACTCCTCCTCTTCTCCCCCTGTCATTCTCCTAGCTCCCTCTCCTCTCCCCCTATGCTCCCAATTTTCTCAGGAGATCTTGTCCCTTTCCCCTTCTCTGGGGGGCCATGTATGTCTCTCTTAGAGTCCTCCTTGTTGCCTGACTTCTCTAATAGTGTGGATTGTAGGCTGGTAATCTTTTGCTCTATGTGTAAATCCATATATGAGTGAGTGCATACCATGTTTGTCTTTTTGTGACTGGGGTACCTCATTCAGAATTGTTTCTTCCAGTTCCATCCATTTGCCTGTGAATTTCAAGATTCCATTGTGAAAATATAGAATGCTTCACCAATTTGTGTGTCATCCTTGCGCAGGTGCCATGGTAATCTCTGAATCATTCCAATTTTAGTATATGTGCTGCTGAAGTGAGTACCATTCATTCATTTTTTGTATACAAGAATATATTGTATGTTGAGCATAACTCTTCTACCCCACCTTCCCCTTTCTTTCTTCTCCCATGGTGTCCTGGAGAGTTTAATTCTATGTATTTCACATATAGATAGAACATGAATTTTAGTACCTGTTTATAATCTGAGGAGAAATGAAAGAAAGCATTTGATGTTTTTCTGAGAGTAGCTTAATTAACTTAATATGATTGATTACAATTGTATTCATTTCCTTGCATATGATCTAAATTTATTCTTCCTTATGGCTAGAAATTATTCCACTGTGTATATATGCCACATTTTCTCCATCTATTCTCTTGTCTCATGTGTGTGTGTGTGTGTGTGTGTGTGTGTGTGTGTGTGTGTGTGTGTGTATGTGTGTGTGTATGCTAGAAAATATTAATAAATTCTAGCTGTTAGCCTATGATGAAAAATGTTAATATACTTTTCCTAATCTGAGACTATCTTTTCACTCTGTGTCATCTTATGTACAAATATCTCATATTTGTCACAGTTCCATTTGTCTATCTTTGCTTTCATAGGCCTTGATTTGGGTGTTATATCCAAGAAGCTGTTGCCAAATTCAATTCATGAAGCCTTCCCCCATGTTTTTGTCTGACTGCTTATGAAGCAGCTAAACTGTCACTATCTTGTAGCGTTAGTTTTTTCATAGACACTGAGATCAAAAATTGATAAATGGGACCTCCTAAAACTGAGAAGCTTCTGTAAGGCAAAAGACACAGTCAACAAGATAAAATGGCAGCCCACAGACTGGGAAAAGATATTCACCAACCCCACATCTGACAGAGGAATGATCTCCAAAATATACAAAGAACTCAAGAAGCTACTCTCCAAAACACCAAACAATCCAATTTAAAAATGGGGTACAGAACTAAATAGACAATTCTCAATAGAGGAATCTAAAATGGCTGAAAGACACATAAAGTGTTCAACATCCTTAGCCATCAGGGAAATGCAAATCAAAGCAACTCTGAGATACTATCTTACTCCTGTCAGAATGGCCAAAATCAGAAACACCAATGACATTTTATGCTGGAGAGAATGTGGAGAAAGGGGAACACTTCTCCACTGCTGGTGGGAGTGCCAACTTGTACAATCACTTTGGAAATCAGTATGGCAACTCCTCAAGAAAATGGGAATGAGTCTAACACAAGATCCAGGTATTCCACTCCTAGGCGTATGCCCAAAAGAAGCACATTCATACAACAAGGGCATCTGTTCAACGATGTTCATAGCAGCACTATTTGTAATAGCCAGAAACTGGAAGTAGCCTAAAAATGGATAGAACTAGAAGAAACCATTCTGAACGAGGTAACCCAGTCACAAAAAGAAAAAACATGGTATGTACTCACTCATATCCAGATGTTAGACATAGAGTAAAGGATTACCAGCCTACAATCCACACTGCCAGAGAAGCTAGTAAACAAGGAAGGACTCTAAGAGAGACATACATGGTCCCCTGGAGAAGGGGAAAGGGTCAAGATATCCTGAGCAAATTGGGAGCACAGGAAGAGGGGGGAGGGAGCTAGGAGAATGAGAAGGGGAGAAGAGGAGGGATGCAGAGGACATGAGGGAGCAGAAAGGTTGAGTCAGGAGAAAAATAGAAGATAACAAGAATGGAGATACTATAATAGAGGGAGACATTTTAAGTTTACAGGCACAAGGGAAATGTCTGGAGAGCTACAAAGGTGACACTAACTAACAATCTAAGAAGCAGAGGATAGGCTACATTAAATGCCCTCCCCTGATAATGAGATTGATGAATGACTTATATGCCACCCAATAGCCCTTATCCAACTGCTGGTAGAAGTAGAAGCAGAGACCTACAACTAATCACTGAACTGAACTGGAATCTAGATGCAGAGAAGGACGAATGAAGAGCAAAGGGGTCCAGACTAGGCTGGTGAAACCCACAGAAACAGCTGACATGTACTTTGGAGAACTCTTGCTCCCCAGCCTGATAGCTGGGATACCAGCATGGGAGTGATCTAGAACCCAGGAACATGGGTTTCAGTGAGGAACCCTCAGAAACCTATGGGACTTCTTATAGTGGTTCAGTACTTATCCCTAGCATAGGTGTGGACTTTGGGAGCTCATTCCACATACAGGGCTACTCCCTGAGCCAAGAAACATGGGGGTGTGCCTAGGCCCTATCCCAAAGGATACAATAGACTCTGATAACACCCTATGGAAGGCCTCACCATCCAGGGAGACCAAAAAGGATATGTGATAGGTAGGGTTTTATTTGGGGTAGTGGTAGGGGAGGATGGGAGGGAGAAGGGAACTGGGATTGTCATGTAAAACAATCTTGTTTCTAATTCAAATAAAAAATGAATGACTCTTATATTTTGTTTGTGTGCCTAGCCTTTAACGGCTGAGCTATCTCTCCAGCTCAAGAATGACTCTTTTTATGTGTGTGGGTGGATTGCTTTCATGTATGTTTGTGTACAAAGTCTGTGCCTGGTGCCTCTGGAAGCCAGAAGAGGATGACTGATTTTCAGAAGGTTGGGGGCTACCATGTGGGTGCTAAGACTGGAATTCAAGTTTCTGGAAGAGCAGCTAGGATTCTGAACCACTGGGCTATTTCTTAAGACCCTTTTGTAGGGGGTGCTGTAGCCATGCCTGCTTTGAGGCTGGCTACAGGTGTGCCTGACCCCGCCATCAAGGGCGTGTTCAGGGTAATGTAGGGAAGGTTTAAGAGTGAGCAGTGCTCATGTGGTGGTCCCTTCTTTCACTTTCATCTTCGGCTTGGTGTACTTGCTGCTGCCCTGCTGGCTGGTTAGGTCGCTCTGTAAGTAAAGCTTTTCCCTATTAAATTCCCTTGTATTTTTACCTGGGTCCATATTGGTAATTTCCCACATTAACTGGTTGTCAGGAGTGGGATCTTGTAAACCTAGGCTATGTTTGGGAGAGCCTGAGGTTCCCACCTGGATGGCAGACTAGGATGGAAAAGTGCTCTCTCTCTCTCTCTACAGGTGCACCTGGCTCGCAGCTGACCTGCTGTGCCACACAGCAGGTCGCTGATGCTGGGCCTCTCAGAACAGTCCTCCAGCTGGAGGAGTTCTCCTGACCTTCTATGGTTTTACCACTGCAGTTTCTTGCTTCGTGCATGGGACTGGCCTGGATTTTGGCCTACCCATGCCCGGAGGCCTCCTGCCCTTGAGCAGAGTAGGCCTTGGGTGTAGGCCTCAGCTTTCAGCACAGTTCACAGCTTCCACTGGCTATGAAGGCAGTAAAGTTGCGTCTCTTTCAGTGGTTGAGGCCTCAAGGCTGTACACTTCCAGCTAAAGCACAGCCCCCTGTGTGACCTTAGCTCTATCTCCGCTGCTGGCATCTTGCCTGACTGACTGCTGCCAAAGGCTTCATGGACTAGCTGAATGCCTGCACCACCTGCTGGTCAAAGATACTTACTGCATCTAGAATTGAAATCAGATAAAATCATGTCAGAATATTTATAATTTGCTAAAATTGGTAATATTTTTGCTCATTATGTGAATCCAATGTTCAAGGAGGACGTTAATCTGTCAATTACCTGCCTATATGCAGTAATGGCAGTTAGCTTGCTGATACAAATAACATTACTAGTCAGAGTTCTCAGGAACAGGGACAAAGATAACATCACCACATGCTTACAGGAAATAACAGCTTTACAAAATGAGGTTTTGGAGAACAGATTAGGTCAGACCACAATTGTTTAGCAAGTGGAACAGAAGTTGGATAATAAGCTTGGCTCTGTTTCCAATATTTTAAAGACACAGCTATCTGTTCCCCAGCATATTTATGATAAGATAAACACAGAGAGATCCTCCATGTCTGAAGTGTTAGAGGCTAGGCTGTTAGAGGACCATGACGAAACAAAGAATATCTGTAGTCAGCTAGATACTCAGATAGGCTCTGTGTCCCAGAAATTAGATGCAAAGGTGCAAAATACCCAGGATAGGGTTGAAGAATTGAACAATGCCATTCAATCAATTATTGAAGCATCTAAGGCAGCAGATCACAAATTTGAGTCTAGATTCGAATGTTTGGAAGGTATTTTACAGAACAGGGCTGGCACATTAGATAGGTCCATATGGTCGATTGCTGATGACTCAAAATCAGCAAATCATGACCTCAAATCTAGACTCCAATACCTAGAAGGTAGTTTTCATACCATCCAGATGCTAAGGAGGAGCGTATTAAAGATCTAGAAAAACATGTAGAGGAGCAGTTAGAGTAATTTACAGATTCACTAGCATGCTTGGAATCTTTTATGATGCAGGAAATTGAAACTTTTCATGAGGATATCTTTACTAGGCTTAAAGATCATTGGGATGCCTCAGAGGCAGAATCATTCCTATCTGAGGCACCTCCTCCACCCAGGTATCATGACTATTCTTCTAAGGTTGTTACTTGTACACCATTAATATACCCAGTTACCATGGTAGAAAAACCAGCTTCCAAGAAACACCTTCAGGGACAGATGGCTTATGTATTGCAAACTACACAACTGAAGGATCTTAAGAATATTAAAAAATCAGTTGTCTTATATGGTCTCCATAGCCCATATGTAAAACAGCTATTACATTCATGGGCAACCTTTAACAGGGTAATACCCACAGATTGGGAATGATTGGTGGCAGCTGTACTTGAGAATTCATGCCAAATACAATGGAGGGCATTGGTCAGGAAGGGAGCGAAGCTCCTTGAGCATCAAGGCATAAAGGAAGGTTTTGAAGCCCCCATAGATAAGATTCTTGGTGAGGGTATTTATGCTCACCTATAGGCTCAGGCTGAATATGATGACCATATACTGTCCCTATGCAGGAACGCAGCATTAAGCCCCTGGGATAAGGTTTGTGAGCCACACGGGTCTGCCAGGCCCACTAGCACAAGGCATTGATGAGATTGATTGTTTATTAATTGGAAGTGTGCTAGAAGTCCCAGAATTTCATAAGAAACATCATGTAAATAGCAAAGGTTTGAA